ATAATCTTCACTAGATTTTGTGGCTGTATGCTTTGCTGGGTCTTTGGAAGTTGCCTGTTTGCTTTTAGAAGTTGAAGTAGTTTGCTGACCTAGTCAAGTTTGGTACCAAACTTGGAAGATTAGCAAAAGTGAGGATCTGTTCTGAAAGTGGTATTTCTTTCTAGGTTTCAAGACAGGTTTCAAGGTTAGCTGTTGCATATGTGCTATTTATTGTGGCAAGCACTTCCAGTGACTCTTCTGCCCAGGGGGTGTTCCTTTAAATAGTTCTAATGTTTTGCCAGCTTTGGTTTAAACATTAGGGGTTTTTTGTGTTGATTATTCCTATTCTCCTGTAAATTTGCTTCTGCCAGATGTCTTTACAGACCTCTCTGGCACAGCGGCCTGGCAGATTGAAGTCAAAGATTTCACTTAACGTGGTGAAGCTTCTAGGTTGCAATGAAGATGCAATGGAAAATTTCCCATGAAGTAGGGTTGGCCAGTGTTATCTTGATTGGGTTATGCAATGGATTCCTTGCTTAATTCTTAAGTTCTCCTTGGAATATTTTTTACTTAATGCTAGGGGAAGGGGATGTAGCTGGTATTTTGGTTGAAACCTTTTTTTCAGCACAGTGAAAGAATTGTTACATCTGATGATTCAGCTCATCTGTGGACGGGAAGGAAAACAGCAGCTATAAAAAGTAAATTCTTGGATTGGTAAAACAAAATGAGCTGGCACTTCAGTGCGCTCTAGTGAGTTAGCGGTTTGTGTAATTTATATAACCTCATTTATACCAGAACTAGTGGTTTGGAAATTAATTGTAGGATGATGGAAGAAGTTAGCTTGGAAAACCCTTCAAGCTGCTGTAGCTAGCAGTACTTTCTAGATAACTACAGAAGCAGGTAGCATGTGCTATTGACTTAGCTTATAGTTAAACCAATGTGTAGGTTTAACATCTCTTACTGCAGGAGCTTGTTTTGTAAGGGTCGTTTTAAGTCTTCTGAGAAGGAGGAATGGCTGTTCAAGAAAGGTGAATCACTGAATATTCCGAGTTGGAAGGGACCCAGAAGGATCATCGAGTCCAGCTCTAAAGTGAATGGCCCACATGAAGATCATACCCACGATCATGGCATGATTAGCAGCATGCTCCACCTGAGAGGGCAGGAAATGTGGGCAGCCAGAATGTAAGGCTGATTTTGGCCAAAAGGGGGTATGTCTGTCAGAGGTCACAGATCCAGGGGTGAGAGTCTCTCTTCAGCTAAAGACACCTTCTGGCCTACATGATGCTGCAAGCCACTGACTTCTCTTCCTGAGATGTCTTTCCTTGTGGGCCATAGATGGCTGTATGCTTACAATGAACCATGAGTGTACTGCCTGCACAAAATTCTATCCTTTCTATCTCTTGCTATAATTTCAGTGAGTTTGTGAGCCTTTCCAGGGGAACACAGGGCAGGAAAGAGGAGATTTGGAGCTGATTGTCTTATAATTATCCAGTTCTTCTCTGGGTATCAGTGTTTTTGTAAGATAAGCTGAGGGAATGGCTATTATCCTGCTGGAGACTTCTGCACTCAATTTTTGCAAGTCCTTCTGAGTTCTCTTTTTTCTTGGCAAATATCTGATACTGTTGTTCTGTGTTGGATACTGCATTGCCTCATACACCAACATTTCTTGCTGCAGTGTCCAAAGCTCTGGTGGGAGGGAATGGCCCTTATGGTGCACTGCTTCTAGTAAAACCCAACCAAAACAAAGCAAAGAAACCCTAAAGAGCAACAACAAACACCAAACATCCAAAGACACACAATACACAGAAAAAAACATGTTCAAGTTCTAATTAAGTAACCTATACAGCATTCCTAATGTTTCTTATTACAGCATGAGGAGTCTGCTCTTGTTTTTAGTGAAATCAGCAGAGTTTCTGATTACGTTAACTCTGATTGCATTGACTTCCCAGTTGACTTCAAGCATCATGTAAAAAGTATTAATATTTGATCTGTTAGCCCACAAAATAATTGCCTGGTAAATCCCAGAATGTTTGTCAGTATTGTAACTCATAAAGCTGGGCACAGCAGGGATTTTTCCTGAGATTTTAGGAAGTGAGAATATACAGGCATGATATCACAAGGTTTGTTAAAGATCCTGAGCATCCAATCCAGAGAAGACCACACAAACTGTGCTTCAGGATGTTTTTGTTTTCTGCCTGTCAACAAATTTAGTCTGCTATGAAGATTTATAATAGTGAACTTATGATGTTACTTTGTGTTCTGTATGGAAACTATGCACACACAGAACAGTAAAATCTGAAAGTTTATTTTAAGGCAGTAAAGCAAGTAAATGCTCTGCTGAGGGTTTGTATTTGTGGTTGTGACTTGTTAAAATGGAAATGGAAAAACCAACAGGAAGAGAAGGTGGGATAGGTTTATTATGAAATATAGCACTATGTCTTAAATTTAACTCAAGCACAGAGACCGTAACATCTTTAACCCTTAAAGGTATTTATGCCAGAATTGTTCATGTTTTTAGAAACAAATCCCCTCATCATGTCAAAGGTCTAAAAGTAGAATAAAAATAAATTGAAACCTGATTTCCTTAGCTTTTTCAATTTGAGCTCTGTAGTTGACTTTTTACAATCTGTTTTTTTGTTTTTTTTTTCATATTTGTTCTCTGATACTTGGTGGTCTTATGAATGAGTTTTTAAGCCCTTGTAAAGCTCTAAATTGATAATGTTACTCTGATTCAACTGTCCACTTAAGCATGTGCACACGTCCTCTACTGGCTTATGAAGTGTCCATATTTATTAGAATAACCCACTGAATCAAGGCTACTAAACAGATGGACTTTTCAGTTTTTGCACCTTCTGGCTTTCAAGTAAAGCTGTATATCTTTAATATTTGATGGAAATCAATATGCCAGTACTATAAGGTTTGATTGGCAGGCACCTCTCTGGGTTTCCCCAGAGCAGCTGGATGCTCTGTGCCTGGGAAGGAAAACCAAGTTTATTATGTCTAAGTGAAAGGCTTGGTTTATTTGTTTCTAATATTCTATTTCTGTCAGAAGCCCTGACAAACTTACTATTTAGGCTTTATGGATACTCAGTAAAAAAGGCAGGGATATTCCACAGATGTGAGATACTTGCTTAGGATTACTATTGATTTCTGCTCCATCACGCTTGTTCTAGTAAAGGATTGATTTAGTCTTGCTTGATGTGACTCAAAGAAATTTATCCCTTAATGTCAAGCAGAGAGTGAAAGCTAGGGATCAAAGTAGGGATTTTGACTCTAGTTACCAGTAATGAGTTACTCAAAGAAGGATATAGTTCCCTATGGTTTCCAAATGTTTGTTCCCCTGCTTACTTAGAAGGTCTTCATTATATACCCGGAGAGAATGGACTCTGGTTTATTTGGCTTAATTGCTCTGGCCTATAGGAGCAAAAGTTGGTTTTCTTTTTTAAAACATAGCAATTTTAAGTAGTTGGAAGAAACAGAAATAATAATTCATGCTTTTTTACTGTATAAAGCTGTTAGGTTGTAAGTTAGCCCTGTGTATGGAGGAGTACATTGAGTGTTGTACAGAGTGCTGTTAAAATGAAGTGCCTCATTTTTAATCCTTGATTTATAGTGTTTTAGGGTATTATATTAGCAGTGTTACTAATTCTGTGTCATTTTACATGTAAGATGAGCAAGTTCCATGACCAGGGCATGAATTGGATGAGGCTTATCTATATCCATGATAATAACCTGTGGAGAGACTAGTATCCTCAACTGATGAGAAATATCACCTTTTATAAGTTTTCTTGTGGCTTTGTCTTTTGAGCAATAGATGATGGATATTCAGTAACCCTCCTGAACTTGCCCTCAGATTCTCCTGTCTCTGTAGGGGGGAGTGGGGAGTGGTTGGGCCCTGGCCTTCACCCTCCTTTGGGTCAGGTGAAAAGTGAGGGTGTTCCCTCTGAAGTGCCCCAAGTGCTAGACCGGGAATAAAAGGGCAGGGAGTTCTCCCTTGGTTTTAAATAGTCAGAGAAGCATTTAATCAACCCTGTGCGTGCATTCAGGAGAAGGACAGGGGTTAATTCTGCTCTTGAGAGCAAGAAAAATGAGTAAGACTGAGAGGAAGCAGTAAAGAAAAATAAATGACACTCCAAGATCCCAGGGGCAGGGGCTCTTGGGAAAAAATTCTAGTATTGATAACATTACCCAAACTATATCCATTATACCATCCTTGGAGTTCCTGTGAATGTTGTCACTGAACAGTAGTGTTGAACTAGATAAAACAGCTTTCTTCCCAGAAGACGTACCCTTGTTTTCCCAGCACTGGTCTCTTAAGGTTTAAGCACAGTCATCTACTTTGTGTTAGATTTTCAGGTACGGTGTAGATAAAGCAGGCCATGAAGTCATAAATCAAATCCCTCACATTTTAATGGGGAAACAGGGAATTACGCAGTCAGTCTTATAAAGAAGGTGCAGAAGGTCATGTGTGTCTACAGTGGCTGATTTGTGTTCGCTGTCGCACCCATTAATTTAATCTGTAAATTTGCCTCCAGTTTGGGGCTAGTTTTCTAGTGAATCAGAGTGAATTTGTTTCTATTACCATACTAATGAGTGGGGTGAGAGAAAATGAATTGCAAAGCAAGTTTTCCTCTTTCCCCCTCCCTTCCACTTTGTGTGAAAGTGGCCTGATTCTTTTCCTACCTATTTGGCCCAGGAAAGTTGATGTATTTGGGCTGCATTTGGGAGGGCTGTATCACAACTGCTTTGGGCACATCCATCATGCAGGACTGTGTGGTAAAGATGCTGGACTCTGCTCTGAAACAAGATGAGTTCCTAGGCAAGCCAAGGCAGCTTTTGCCAATTTGTGACAAAAGTCAGTATGTCTGCACGAGGTACTGATAACACACTAGCTCATGTCAGTGCCAGTTTGAGTGCATGTGTACTGTGCTCTGCTGCGTGGTCTGGAGATACCTTGCTCTAGTTTGAATACAATTTTCTTGTATTAGGAAGAAACATTTTCTTTCTGTTTTTTTCTTCAGGCAACAAGAGCTTCTCTGACTCAACATTGTACCAGTCTGGGGGAGTCACTGGGCAAGGAAAATGATATTGCCCTGATTATTGATGGCCACACACTGAAGTATGCCCTTTCATTTGAAGTCAGGCAGAGCTTTCTGGACTTGGCACTCTCCTGTAAAGCGGTTATTTGTTGCAGGTAAGGAATTCCGTGTTTCTTCTGGGTAAGAAGTGGGCGTGAAGCCTGTGAAATTCAACCTAGTATGCACATAGCCACACCTATGCACATAGCCACACCTAAGGATTTGGAGAGCAGCTTGCTTAGTAGTGTCTTTCTTCCTCCTATGGAGGAGGAGGCATGTCCCTTCATTAAAATTCTCTCACCAAATAATATAATTCCTTCTGCCAGTGTCAGTCGCAGCTGAGTCCAATCTCTTCTATAAAGTGATGAAAGATTGTGAGAAAACATTGTGCCTGATTGCCTGATTATAGTAGATACTAATGAGAAGGAGTGGTATGGATGTCATTTGTAATCAAAATGTTTGACTGTTCAGCTCAGCTCTAGAGGAGCTCACTGCATGAATTTAAGTTGCTCTTGACTTCTGGTGTATTATGTGAGTCTGTGATAACAGTGCAATTTGCCCTATTAAATTGTTAGACTAATGCTGCCTTTGCTAAGTCATAGCAGAGTTTGTTGCTGTTTGTGAATATAGCCATACACAGATATGGTCCTATGTCATGACTACTTCAGAAGGAAGGAAATAAGAGCCCCAAGGAAATGAAAACCAAAAGCTGGCTTTCTTTACTTTTTGTGTAGCAGGAAGGCTGCATCATTTTTAACTTTGAAAGATTATGTGGCTTTGAGGATTGTGTGTGTTTGTGCTCATTGCTGGTATTTGGGGAGAACTGTGACCTAGTGGAGATTGTTGATTTAGGCAGGCAGGAAGTTTTATTTGCATTCTAGAAGCAAGACGTGCTTTGTGGAAAATGACTATAGGGAGACCTTGTACTACTTTTTTTTTGCAGTCTTACTTACCTTCTATGTGTGCACTTTTGTACAAGTATCACATGGAAAAAGGAGTGCTGTCCATGTACCTGAAATAGCTGAACCCTTGGGCTTTTTATCTGACTAGTTTCTTTCTGTTTGTTTTCTGGACTGCTGTACTGCACGATACTGTGGCTAGAACTGTTCAACATGTTCATTATTACCTGATGAGTAAATGGAGTATAAGCTCAGGAAGTTTACAAATGATACAAGACTGAGGAGTGAGAGATACCACTGAGGGCTTGGCTGCCCTTCTGAGGAACCTCAATAGGCTGAAGAATTGAGCAGCGAAATCTCATTAGGCTAAGGAGTTACAACCCCTTACACCAGTAAGCTGTGGGGGTTGCTGAGCTAGAAAGCACCTTTGTCTGAAGGATCTTTGGATCCTTGCTGGACAAGCTGACCATGAGCCAGCAACGAATCCTAGTGGCAAAGCAAAGACTGGTGTTACCCTGGGCTGCGGTGTAAAGAGCATTGGTAAAGGTTGAGGGAGGTGATCCTTCTTCTCCACACTGGATCTGAAATGTTGTGGCCAGTTCTGGGATTGTTAATATAACAGGTTTAATGGACAGAGTCCAGTGCAGGACCATGAAGATGATAAAGGGGGGCTGGAGCATCTGTCATGAAGGGACAATATGAGAACTGTAAGTGTTCAGCCTAGAGAAGAGGAGGCTCAGAGGGGTTTGTATCAATTTGTATGAGCATGCAATAGAAAGGGAATGAAAGATGAGGGAAGCAGGCTCTTCCCTGTAGTGTTCATTGACAAAAGTTTTTCTTCTGTTGCTGATTAATTTTATTTTTTTTAATTTGGGCAGGGGGCTGGGGGAAGAAGGCTCAAAGCCTTAGAGCAGAGGTCCCATTTCTGCAGCTGTTTAATGGAGTGGGAAGTGTTGTGCAAGAAGGAGCTAACACAAGTGTAGCCATCTTTGCAGTGCAACAGGCCCCGATGTAGATCCAGAGTAAAGGTACCTTGAGCTTTGGGAGCACCAAGTGCCTGGGAAGGGAGCTGACTCTGTCTTGTGCTCTGTTTGAGGGGAAGTTAACCAACAGAGCATGTCACAATGCTTTGGCAGAGATCCTTCCACGGCACTCTGTTAGTTTATTGCTTGAAGATTTGACAAGTTAAGCCAAAGACCTATGTAGCTGAAACAAATAATAAATTGCGAATTATTAAAATTACACGTAAAATATATACAATAAGCTAAATATAATGAATGGTCCTGTTTTGCCAGGAGACATGCAAAACTGGACATTTCCTCTTTTGTTATTTCATGAGGGAAGCCAACAGGAGTTTTATTTATTAGTGAATTAGCAAATTGAGGAACAATGCAGGAAAAAAATTACTTTAAAGTATAAATCAAAGGGGAAGAGATGATGTAATTTCATAGCTTAAAAGGGGGAATGAAAATAATTGAGTTTTAAGTCCCCAGGGAAAAAGAGGAATGCTTTTAATAACCTTTAAGGCTTTTTAAGAACTTTCCAGTCATTTGCCAGGTGCTTGATACTGAAGCAAGAAAAATATTTTTTTTTTAACGCTCTGAGTTGTTTTCGATGGTACTTTGTGTGTCAAATAAGGCAGTGCACTTATACTTCACAGGAAGAAGTTTTAAAATGGAATTGAGAAAGAGGACATTTCAAATTAGAGTTAGTCTTCAAACGAAAATGTTAATTGGGGGGGTGATGTGGCTCTTAGTGGTATGATGTTTAACCACAGTAGGAGTTGCCTTGCTGCTCTCAACATTGCATAAATTCATGGGGCTTAATATTTCATAAATTTGCTAAAACATTTTCATCTCCTCTGGGGAGTTTCAGCTGCATTTGCCATTCAAAATGTTTTAAAAATATAGTTAAGATGTACTGTATATTCATTTTCTGGGCTTTAGGCATAAACTGTAGTTGAACTTGATTCTCAGGGGTAATCTCTTAAAATGAAACTGTAGTAAACCTGGCTCCTTTTTGCATTAAGAGGGAGAGATGGTATCTTCTGATGGGGTTAAATCTTCCACTGTTACAGTGTCTCTAGCAGGCCACTGGCACAGTGGAGAAAAATATACCCCTCGGGAGACTTGGTAAAGCTAGCAAAATCAAATCAAACAACTCTTCAAGAAAAAGCCTTGTTTGTTAAAGTTTTTCCAGAGACTGACAGATCTTATTATCTTTCTTCACACTGACTGGGATGTCAGGATGTCAAAAGTAAGCAAAACTTATTTTCAGTGGAAGTAAATGTTGTTTGGAAGGCAGTTGAACTCATTACTTCATTTATGAGCTCTGAGCTGATGATTGCCTGTCTCTGGTTTTTAAATGTTCCTTTAATGGACCTATTTTTAGTGATGTTTTGTGAGACACAAAATGTTAAGCTTTAGGTAGAAGTAAGATTATTCTTTTAATAACAAAATGGAGTGTTTTCATTCATCTAGTGTTTATACTCTAGCTAGTACGTACAGCATATTGTTGCATTTGCCTCTGAATATAAAAGCAGCAGAGAATTATATAACTTGTGTGTTATGGCATTTAATATTTAATTATTTAATATTTTAAAAATTCAATATAATTTTAAATTAATGTTTAATTCTCTGCTGAAGAGCCTGCCTTGAATTTGAAATATTTATAGTTGAATTAATGTGATGTTTCAGAAACACATTTTTATGACTATGCTTTGGGAACTTTTTGTTTTTGTTGTTGGATTGAACTTCTTTGCAGGTGGCAGTGACTCTGCCTTTGTATGGGTTTAATTCCATATTAACAAGACATCCATCAGGAAGAAGCAATCCATCAACATTTAAGAGATTAAATAATTCTAAACAGTTTGTAAGTACTTCAGTACTTAAAAGTAATTGTTGGACAGCAGAAGTAGTCCTTTGTATAATTTCTTTCACAGATGTAAGCACAACAAAACAAGCATCTCCAGAGAGACGTGTAGCATAAGACTGGGAGCCCATCCCACACTGGGCTGCCTCAGTGTGATTCTTTTCTCTTTTGCTTGTATTACTGACCATTTCTGCCATACTTCTTGAGGTGATGATGCTGGGACGTTGTTTCTTTTCCATACGTGTACTTAGATCCTGCAACTTTTCAGCTGAGTGAACAGTGAGTTGATGCCTGTGTAGGAGAGGTTTCAGGTAATAGAAAAATAAATAAAAATGTCTCAGTTGCTGTACAATCCATCAGCTTTTCTGCCATACTTTGGTCAGATGTCCTGTTCTGCAGAGGTGTCTATAAAGTGGTGCAGCATGAACAGAAAATGAGAAAATCCAGCAACAGCAATTTCTATGGACTGTCTGCTATCTCCACAAGGGCACTTGCCTTGTCATGGCTACTACATCAGGATGATTTTCCTTGCTTTTAGGTGTGAAAGATATATGCAGTTGTTTCTCAGCAGCTGAACACTGACTTCTGGAGGGCTTCTGCCCAACCTCACCAGCTAACTTTAGATGATAGTGGCACAAACTGTTGCTTTCAGTACCTTGAGCGATATTGGAGCTGTAGTGATAATGGTTAGGAGCTGAGTAAAAAAAGAAACAGGAGGAGAAAATGTATGTTTTTTAAACACAACCCCAGCAACAGGAAAACCCTGTTCTGTGTTGCTATTGCATGCAGGGAGGCTGGGGTGAAGACAGGAGCCCACAGGTATCACTCTGAGAACAGACACTAAATGTTTTGAAATGAACATGCCCTTTGACTAGAGTGTGTCTCCTTGGGTGTGGAAAGGGAAGGGGTTTAATGAATTGAAAGCAGAAGGTTGGAGAAGGGAAGGCAAAAAGCAGCTTGTGAAGAGTGCATGTTGCTAACTGTTGGAGTCACTTCATCAGCTAAGGAGAGAAGAGAAATGAGGAGACAAGAGAAGTTGTTTCAGCACTCCAAGTTGTAAGGCCAAAGTTGGGGTGCTTCTGGTCTTCCATCATGATTTGGAGGAGACATTAATAACATAGCTGATAAAATGAACATCTGGAATACTTCTTAAATATTTATTCCCCCCAACTCACATGTTGTTGCTGGTGTTAGTATTTGACAAAATGATCATTCTGTGCTGTAGTTCAGTGTGTATTTATTTATTGAATCAAAAAAGTGTCTTGCTGGTTTTCATTAGATAAGACCCCCATTTTCATAACCAAAAATTGCAACTCAATTCTGATTAAGAGTATGATAGCCAATTCTAATGTTAATTGGTCCCAAAGAAAATTGTGGATATGTTACGTTTTCCTGTGTGTACATCTTGTGTTTCCCCTCATCTGTGACCTACTAAATAATCAATCCTCATTCTCATACTCTATTTCTGCCAACTCATGACAGCAATATTCATCTTATGACTTTGAAAACCATGAGGGAAGAACCATTCTGACAGCTTTAGTGTTTGTAGATAATTGAAGAGGGAGGAAGGTTTGGAGTTGCAGCATTACATGGTGTTCTATGTGCTCTTGAATAAAGAATACTCACAGATGATTAGAAATGATCACCTAAACTGTTCAGTGTGTATGTAGGGATGTGTAAAGCAATCCTGGGACTTTCTTATGATTATTTTTCTTAAAAGCCTGTTGTCTGCTTTGTAAAGCCTGTTTGGCTGCTGTTCGCTGCTAGGTAAACTTGGAAAATGTCACCAGTTCTGTGCTGGAAAGCTAATATGGGAAAACTTTAGGAGAGCTTGATCTTAGAAATTTGGTAATTATGTTGTCCTCTGAGTGGCAAAGTGAGTTTCTGCTGCATGTTTTGACTTCTGTTTTAATCGCTGTTCTGAGCTATGGCAGTTCCTGAACCTCACTGTCGTAGTTCAAACCATTCAAATGCTTAGCTAATGTTTAAAGGGGGAAAAAAAGTACTGTTTACACTTAAACAGTACTTAAAGATACTGTTTTAACTGGTATTGTTTGTTTTTTAAATGACACAGGTGAAGCATGTTTCCCTTGGGTAACTATTAACTGCCTGACAGCCTGAATTTAAATGATTCATGCTATGTGGCCAAACATTTCTTACTGCTTAACTTCATCCCATTATTTTGACTGTTACTATTCTTGGGAATTATTTTGCTTTATTTGTTCAGATGAGGAAATAATTCAAATGGAATAATCCCTAAGTTGAATCAGTGTTCCAGTTTCCACTGCTGTTCACAATTTGGCAAAATGTTTGCCTTTTTGAATTTATTAAAGAAAAATACTTAGCTAATAGACTAAGTTTGTTTTGTGCTTTAAATTTGTGTATGTCTGTTCAGATCTGATATCTGTTTTAGTGTTCACTTTCTCTTTCTGCTGGACCAGCTGAGTTATCATGCTCATAACTGATTATGGATAAAAACCTTCTTCTGAAGTATTCTGCTTAACTTCTATTTCCTGTTTCTGTTACTGTTCTTGCTAGCAAATTTACTTACCACCAAGTAATTGGAAAAGGTAGGAGGAAAGGCAGGAATACAGCTAAAATCAACATTTTTCATTGGAAGCACTTTTGTAGAAAAAATACAGCATGTCCTGATAAAAACCTAATAAGTTTCTCCTTCAAGTAGTGTTTACCCTAGTTGTTATTTTTGAAATTAATTTGTTACCATTTTTCATTGTGAGCCTAATATTTAGGTGACCAAAATCTTAGCAGTTCACTTGATTCATCTTGTCAAATATAAGTGAAATTTGTCTCTTGAGCAATGGGGTGATAATACTCACAAGCAGTTCCAAATGGTATCAGTGTCTGTTTCTTCACCATACTGCAGTATCTTGTCCAAATTGCTCCTGATCTCTTCAGCCTCTGAGCAGGAGCAGCCAGCAGTGCTATGTTTAGCACTACACTTCCCAAATTGGAAAACAAACATTCCATAGATACTGCACATGAGAAAAAAACTATGCTGCTGGAATGTATGCTATTTTAGAAGAAAGATAAAACTGTGGTTTGGAATACCTTCTGTTCCATGAGAAATTCATAGTACTGGTATATTTTTCTTTCCACTAGTGTTAGTGTGTTAACCCCTGTCTTCTGGCCAAGTTCCAAATGGAACAATTACTTTCTTCTCACTGAAATTCCCCTGCCGCCTTTATTGAATATAATATTCTTCACTTCCTATATGCAAAGCTGTTGAGGGTGAGCATGTGAATGCTAAAGGTCACCAGGTTTTAATTCAAAGGTCCTACAGCAGAGTTCTGCTTGTGAACCCACATCTAACTATTTGCATCCCTTCATTTTAAGCTTTTGTTTTGTGAAAACGGTATTGGAAGCATAAATGTTACCACCACTCTCTTTAAGCAAAATATGTAGGGTCTTGTTTTGGAGGGAAGGTGTTTGATTGGTGTTTTTCTTTCAATCTTTTTTGTGGTTAGGGGGTGGTGTGTGTTTTACTCTGGGTTTACCCAGGTTCCTCCAGTTTTCCAGTGCAAGTGTAAAGTAACTTTCTATCTTAGCTGGCAGTGAATGTTTGAACTCTTCCAAGGTAGTTTGTGTGGCATGTGTAATACATGGTCTCTGACACAGCACACAGGAACATCCATTGGTGTGCACACTTGTGTCAGGTAAGAACGTGTTCTTAGTATGATGAGGTGTGTAGGCAGCAGCTCACTGCAGCTCTCTGTCCTGTCTCAAATACAGCTTCTTCCCAAACCAATGATGTCAGACATTCTGATTCTCCATTGGGCTTCAGTAATGCCAGTTTTTTCCTGTTCATGCATTCTGGCACAACTGAACTCTTGACACAGTTGCGCTTATTTCCTACCACTTGTCTGTTGTGCCAAACACCCTTTTCCTGAGTTCCTGGAGCAGTGCTGAGTGTTGTCTGCTAGGGAGTGACTGAATGTTTCCTCTTACGGAATTCCCTGCTGGTCCATAAGGCTGGATGGTGGCCAAGGGTCTGGTGCCTTTCTGCAACCTTGCAACTGGTTTGTAAAGGTTTCTGGCTGTGCAGAAAAGTTCCTTAATTCCTTGCTCACCAGGTTGCAATTGCAAGGAAATAGGTTACAGTTTCTGTTTCTTTTAATGGTTTGAAGATGTTATGAAGAAATAGGTAGCCTTATCATGATCATTCCTCACTATTCTGTACTTTCTTCTCTAAATATTGGGTAGTTTTAAAGATCTCAAAACTTTTCCTAGGAGAGGATTTGAGGATTCTCCTTGCTTTTACTGAAATATTTATTTTTGTCCTGCAAGTTTAATATTAGAATTTCACTAAAACCCTGATGCATGAAGGTACAGAAGACAAAGGCCTCTAAAGAATATGTGGTGCTGCACTGCATTCAGAAACAAGACTCAAACCAACTGTAATATTACTCCTTTCATTAGAGCCAACAGAGTCTCGTGCTCTATCCCAAGGGACCAGCTCAAATATTGTATTTTCCATTGTTAAAAGTACAGATATAAAATTACAGAGGCAGGAACAGTCTGTTCTGCAAGCTTCTTAGTACTGCAGGGAATTACCTTCATGAGGACTCTGGGCTTTAGGGCTCTGTAGTAATATGTGGGACACTGAACTGGTAAAACAGCTCTGGTCAGAGTTTCCAAAAGTGCTTAGTGTTGGTGGAAGCTGACTCTAGAGTGTGTCTAAGTTGAGTAGGAGCACAGCTGAATCCATACTAGATATTTGGAAAAATTTGACCTTACACTGAAAAGAGTGGCTAGGCTTAAATGTATTTCTCTGCTATTCATATCCTTGAAGTCATGATAATAAAGCCAAAACTATGCTTGAGGGAAACAGAGTAAACCTGACTTGATTCAACAGGCTAGACTAGGAAGCAAACTCTTTAAGTTTGTTCACTTGAGTAGAAAAATGAAGAGGCTCTGGCTCCAATGGGCTATGCAGTTTTTGGCCTGCTTATGTGCTTGAAATGAGTAGATCTATAGATCTTTAAATGTGAGAGTAAATACCACCATATTCTGCAGGGAAAACAAGGCTGCCCACTTGGAAGCCATTTAGCAAAGCCGTGTTGGTGGTGTAATAGCTTTCTTGGGGCTTAGACTTTCCTTTGCACAGTTGCCCACAGACAGTGGAAAGAATTCTTTGCAGAATCCTCTGTGTTTTGCAGTCTGTAAGGGATGCTCACCTAGTTATGCAGAGCAATACTAAACTCATCCTTATAGAAAACAAAAATCTTATCTCTGTGCTAATAATTCTCCTTAGTACTTGTAAGAAAAGGCAGGTGAGAAAATGTATGAGGAATACCTGTACTTGCAAAGACATACTCGAGAACTTGAAGAAAATCTGATTTTCTGCTGTATCATAACTACAATACAGCTTAAGGGTTCTGCGTTTTGAACACCACTGGCAGGGTTAAAATGGTAGAGACTTGGATTATGCATCCACCAGTAGGCCATTCTTACGCTTCTTCTGAAAAAGGAGGTTTAAATAGCTTCTCCCTATTCTGGGAAGGCTGCTTTGATATCTTGTTTTGGCATGTGTGTTGAATGCATTTTGCTTCTACTCTTTCAAACTTGGTGTCTAGAATAGATAACAGTGATAGACATTGAAAATCATGATCTCTTTTAAATCTTGCTTCTTTGTATCTCCCTTCTCATTACTATTTTCCATGTCATGGCACACTTATACTTTTAAGTTGCTCTTTCTCACAGGTCTTCTGTCACATCTCACTTGATATAATATCTGGTCTTTGTGCGTTCCTAGGATTGTTTTATTTATATTCTACACAAATCCTTTCTTTTCTGCATAAACACACAAATTCAAGTTCCTACAGGGAGCACTTAGATCAGAGCTTCTAAACCTGTGTAGGGTGTTATCTGTGGCTGTTTGCCTACGTGTGGTCTTGAAAGAGCTGTTACTTGTGGGCCCTCACAGGGAGAACCGAGGAGTCCTAAAAACAACCCAAAACTTGACGTAATGTGTTCAGGTGCCAAAATGAACGTGAGCTATGAACTCAATAAAGCTGGGCTGAAGACATCTATTTGAGAAGTCAACTGCTTGTCATCTTTCTGTAAAAGAGCTGCTTCTTGTTTGGAAGTGTGTTCTGAGCATTCAGAGGTTGCTGGCTGAATTGATCCTGGTGGGTCAGGAGACAGGATTTTGCAGTCTGGGTCAGGAGACAGGATTTTGCAGTCTCTGTGGAGGTTGAAAGGTCTTAAGAACGTCTCTGCAGCTCAAGAATGGCTGCTGTGATTATTATGTATATAGAATAATTTGGTGTGGTTCACTCCTCTGATGTCTTTCACTTGGCTTTAGTCTTTCATCTGGTGAGAAGTTAAGCTCAGAACTGTCTGTATGCAGAAGGTGAAAGGTTGTTTTTGCATGTGGTATATTCAGTGTCCAAGTCAGTGCCAAGTTTCTCCAAAACTTTCTACCTCTACATTCCTTTTCCTCCAAGTGAGGTGCTTCCATATGCCTTGGTACTGGGTTGTACAGATAGGTCATAATTTAAATGTAGCCTTCATGGTGTGATGGGTCTCTTGGGTCAGTGATTTTGTCAGGAGACAGACTGACTCTGTACACTGCCATGGTGGTATGAGTGTGTCCAGGACTAGGGGATGATTTTGAGATCTCTGCCCACATACCCAGTGTATGTGCACATCTCTTGGCTCTCTTGAGGGCTGTTTGTGGGACCTTAGTTATTCTCCAATCCTCCAAAAAGTGTCCTTAAAATTGTCAAAACTGTTAACTAGTTCATAAAACCATCAGATTTAATATAGCCATATTTTGAGCTGATTTGGCCCTAATTTTTATAAAGAGAAAGTAGCTGTACTGTGGGATTTTCTTCTGCTCAGATTTGTTCTCTGTAAACTTTTGAGTACTGGTTGGTATAGTGGGAGCAAGAATTGTGACTGAGTTAAACTTAGAATTGGGGATGAGCTCCAGAGCAACAAGGAACTGCAGGACTGTTTTGCTACTTCGCAAGATGTTTTTTGCAGCTGCATTACTCTTAGTTAAGAAGTTCCAACTTCATATTGGAAGGATGAAATCAAGCAACAGTTGTAAGCAGTTCCTTTCAAGGTGTCAGGCACAATTGCTTTTAACCCCTGGTGCTTGTGACTGTCCCTCCTCTGGTGCTGGGTGGTTGACTCAGCTTTATTTTTTCAGTACAGCAGGTTTTAGGAATCTTAAGGAAGAAATGTGTACAAGCTTTCTTCTTCATTGTTTCTCATGTCTGTTTCTTTTGATAACCAACATGTGTGGGCTGGAAATCTAAGCTGTTCGGGGATGTTGTGTTAGGGTAGACTTTTAAAGGCAACATAGAGCTGTGTTTTATTCTGCCCGAGTGTAAAAATCTAATGAATATTTTTACTTTAATTGCTGAGCTCAGGTGTTCTTAGCACATTCATGGGATTTGCTGGTTTTGTCTGACTAGTTGAATGGATGTAGTAACTAGTGGGGTTTTAAGAAGAAAATGTCAGAGGAGCCCACTTCATGCTTGTTCACAACAGTAGTTACTCTAGGAGACTGTTCTGCTGTACCTGCTCAGCTAAAACCTTGTTCAACTGTTCTGGCCATGTCTGCTTCTAACAATGGACAGGATTGCATCCAGATGGCTCTTGAAATCTGTCTCAGTGAGGGAGACTCCACAGCTACTCTGGGCAGCCTGTTCCAGTGCTCTGTCTCTCGCGCAGTGACTGATACCTGTGGTACCTGCTACCCTGGGTACACCACAGATACATTGTGACTTGCTGTCCTTTTATAGCATGATACTGCCACTAGTACTTTTTGCATTTTGATAAGTCAAAAATGTGGTGAAGTAATCTCAAACTACTGAATAGCTACTCTGAAAACTGCATATTACCTTTGTGAAGGGTTCAGTATCTTGCTGT